GGTTTAGTTAGGTTTTTTTAGTTTTTACTATTCTTACTACAACAATAGTAACTAAGACCACTACAATACCCCCCCCCCCCCCCACCCCCCCCACCACACACATAGACACATACCTTTGGAACAACATAATAACACAGTAAATGAAGTGAAAATGGAAAGATCCCACAAGCTTCAACCAAATTAATAACAATGATTGTGGAAGTTGCAATAAAAACATGCAACACTTCAAGTACACAGATTGATAACACACTACAAATGCACCATTTGGCAACAAGACCCAAGGATGGGTCATTGTATGGGCAAACTTAAATGGTACTACTATTACTGAAGTATCATTTCAGCTCTTTCCCTACCTTTTTATTTGGTATATGTTCTCTAACTACAGTTTTAGTTTTGGTGGGTCATTTTTTATAATTTTTGTTTCTATTGCATAATCCCTCCCATTAAATAGACTAGCAGAAATGCCACCCTATGGGTGGCGTTGTGCTATTAATTACTAACTAATCATAGTATTGAACTGTAATGTTTTTATATATTAAAAGTGGTACCCTTTATTGAAAAAATAATTTTTTAAGAACTCCATTTTCTCAGTATTATGTTTACAAATTACATCAATAAAGCTATAATAAAACCCTCATGTACAATACTAGTGAAAGCCATGTCCTTGTTGTGAGGAGAGTACTTTTATTTAAAATTGTGTTCTGTAATAAGGAAATGGTTGTTGCACATACCATCGTTATTTTTCTAATTATCTGAATCTTGAATACCCAAAGTGTGAATCCTTTTATAGATTTTTGTTTGTAGTGCCATTCAGTAGATGGCACAGGAATTTTGGTTGCATACATAGATATTTACATACACGCTACGTCAATTATAGTAAAGATTAATAAGAAAGATGTATTAAACAAATGTAATGGGTGGCAAAATGATTTACATGCAGACATATACTTTTGGAATACTATACTTATGTTTCTAAAAATATTAATAGCCTTTTTGGCATTAATTACAGAAAAATTTGTTACCAACATTTAACAAATATTGGAATACTGCAAGTTATTTTGTTTGTGGTACCTTAACCCAAATTGACTATTTGTGGCAGCTGTTGACATGGATGCAAATTTAGGGGAAAGTATTTACTAACTGAGATTGAGTTGTCCAATATCTTTTTGTATTGAAACTCATTGTTAATTTCTATTATACTTTATATGTAGTTTTCCATCACAAATTAGCACACAATCATCTAATGTTTAAATGCAACCATTAAAACTTTGCTACAAACGTGCAAGTTACACTTTTTGAAAACACAAATTGCATAATATTAATAATGCTATATGAAAATTTTATATAAAATAAATACATAAAAACTAAACTTTTGTTAATTACAACACAAGTAACTGAAATTTTCTCTTTTGCAACATTTTGAAGGAAGGTATCTTTGTTACCTTAGTTAAATTTGAATATGACTACATATATAATTACACACAGACACACACACACACACATATATATCAATACATATGCAGGTGTTAACTATTTATTGTTTTACACTTACGGAATTAAGAAATTAACAGCAACAAGATATTCAAATTCTTTTGTCCATGGATTTTTGAAATTCTTCCACTTGCTCTGCATACAAATAAAAGATCCCTCCTTTGTTCTGAACCTATAGTACTGTGTCGTAAGCCTTTCATTTGTTTGAAGAACTAAAGAAATCACAAAATATACTGATTAAAAACATTTTATTTACAAAAAGAGCAATATAGAAGAAATATTTTTTGTTACATTAGTAACTATCAATTCTTTTAAAATATCACAGTGGATAAAACTGAAGCATACTGGACTTTCATATAACTATAAGGACACTAGTATAGTGTAAAACACATTTGAAAAAAGTGTACTTTGTAATACATAAAAACTATGAACTGATATAAAGTAGACGCATCTTTCAGAAGTTAATACTTCCTTACACTGAAAATGTATTACCAATAGGTATTCACCTCCTGTCACACAAAGCTATCTTGATCTTCTTTCTGCCCCCTAAGCATTGCTAAAAACTTTTAATGCTCAACACATCAGTCTGTTTCCACCACAAGTTTCAGGCTACTCTTGAACATGTATGTAGCATGTGACCACCCTCCACCATTAGTATTGTGCCGCCTATATTGGTGCAGCTAGCTCCCTCTAATGTTCACCCTCAATCATCCCTTTCAAGAATTGGCAGAATCTAAAAGAATAACACCAGCAGTGGGGAGGAGGGGTGGTAAGTTTGTAAAAGGAGGTAAATACCTATCAGAAATACATTTTCAGTGTAAGAAAATGTTAACTTCTGATACAGTCTTACCTCTTCTCAAACAAAGCTAGAACCCCACACTGAAAAGGTGGAAGGGCCGGTATAGATGCCTAACAATGAAATCAAGTGGAAAGTGACTGCTACAAACAATTAGTGTGCTCAGAAACAAAACCAAATCACACATGCAGAGCACTGCACTACTTCTGAAACATGCATGCTTTTCACCCTAAGAGAAAGAAATGAGTCTGGTATGAGCAGAGAAAAACTACATGCACAAGCTTAATATGTTCTGAAAGGTGCAATCCATAGCATGGGTGCAAATTGCACAAACCAGATAGAAAACCAGCTGGCAACCGTGGGTGAAGAGCCACTCTATAAAATGAAAACCTGAAGCAAACTATATACCCAAGAGGAGAAATGTCAAATCAAGGGACAGTTCACTGAAATATAAGGATGAAGTAAAACAACTAGGCTTGGCTAGGTATATAACCAACCTCAACAGGACAGATGAAGTTCCAAAACCCATCCTCGGGATTAAAGGTACAGGATCACCCAAATAAAAAAATTTGAGTAACATAAACATTGTGGCTAGGGCATGTGGATCATGCAACATATGCACACCAACCCCAACCACAGTATCATATATCAAGCAACCAGAATTACGAAGAGGAAGTTAGCATTCGGCTGAAACTGGACAAACTCCCAAAACCACCGTAGGAGCAAGAAGTACAACAAACGAAACCTGGCCTACACTTTCATTTACTCATGGTCCATTTGGCAGAGGAATGGGAGAAGTTTTACTGACTGTAATTTATTACTTTCTCAGTATAGATAGCCTGAACTGTGAGAGTGAACTAAACCATATGGTTCTCCTTTTTGGACTTCAAAATAATTTCAAAGGGCAAGGAGCATGTACCATTTGTTTCAAAGTATGTTTATGTACGACACTATGTAGTTGTCGTGTGACACGTTGTCTCTGCTCTTCAGTGGCATCTGTTAGAATAGCCTACAGGAAAAGTAATAGACCATATACCTGATTAACCATCTGTAAAAAAAAAAAGGTGTAGAGTGTGACACACCAAAATAATTTTCTCCTCCTGGAATGTATTCATCCTCAGAAACATTGTCAGGTTGAAAATGAGAATAAATCACTGGCTGAACTTAGGAATCTAGCTCCCTATAAATTAAAAACTGTACCTCCTCAGCAGATAAAGTCGAACCCAATGCCTGGGTAGTCATACCAGAAGCGTTGTCTACCATAATGGAAACTTCCATTGTTGAAACATTGAATTATGAAGTCATTCTAAGTTACTATATGATTCAGTAACAATAAACAAATGCCAAAAAGATCAAAAGTTGAAACAACTGAATGCAAACACAGTAAAAGAAAACTGTTGAAAAACGTATTGAAATGTACAATTTTAAACGGTAGTCACATGCAAAAAAAATCCATCTAAACAATGCTGTGCCAAACGAGAAAATGAGGATTGAATGGGTACATGAGAGGGAGCTAGCTGTGCCAACATATGTGGCACAATACTATTGGTGGAAGGTGGTCACATGCTGTACACATGTTCAAAAGTGGTGGTGTATATAGTCTGGTGCACTGAACATTAAAATTTTTTAGAAATGCTTAGGAGGCAGAAAGAATATTAAGATAGCTTTGTGTGAGCAGAAGTATTCAGATGCTCAGAAAGACTAATAATACAAAGACACTCGATTTCTTTAACTTTTTTCAATGAAAAATGGACAAAATGGCCACAATATGATGCATAACAGAAGAGAAGCTAATAATCTAAACATTAAATACTATTAATAAAAACCACAAAATACAGTAATAATACAATTGAAAATTTAAATGTTTAATTCATTTATAAAATTACATAAGACTAACCCTGCTAAAATTCTACAGAATGTGTAAGATACAGTCACTTCACCTACTGTTGGAATATCTTAATTTTCTTTCCCAATATAAAAATTCCTAAGACACATACCCACTTTTTAATCATTGTAGCATGAAATACTGCAGAAAATATTCACCTAAGATAGATAAACTTGGTATGGTTGATAAAATGATTTTGCATTAAACTTCAAAAAATAATTTCTTGAATCATAACATTTTGATCAACCACATATTTTGAAAATACAGTAATTCCATTTCTGCATTTCCTCTAACCTGAGGCTACTCATACATACATGATCGTTTATCTCATGCTCGAGATCAGTGGCAGTCTTCCTTCTTTCCCGAAGGCTGCATAAACGAAGATACTTAACATAAGTATCATTGAGTTTAGGTGTTCTGCCTCTTCCTTTCCTATCTTCAAACTTACATGTCTCAGTCTCATGATCTAGGGTGTGCTTGACAGTGTTTGGGGAGCATTTCAAGTCTGCAGCAATTTGTCAGGGAGTCCAACCAGCATCATGTAAAGCTTTTATGTGAACTCTCTGCTTTACTGACAACTCTCTATACTTTTTGGGCCATGGCATGACAACAAAACTTAATACATATAGTGTTAAACACTGTTTTTATCAAGATTTATTTGTGGAGTGCTATTAAATGAATTTCTTCTAGCATGTACCAGTATCATATGCTAGTTCCATGCTAACTTCTTTCTATATACTTAAGACACTGCATGGGGTACCATGACAGTTATTTCAGACTTTAAATTTGATCAGCACATTCATTCATGACATGCCCTTGGTACAAGTATATGGGAATTCTAAAGAATGATAAGTATTCTCATCCTGGCTCATTCAGTTGTAAACAGGGATCAGTGAAGCATTACCATAGTGTTGAAATTTACATTCTGTAATGGCATGGAAGAAGTAGTTCCATAAAATGGAAAGAAGGACAAAATATTCTCTTGTCCTAACACTTTTAGCACAGTACTATACATCATAACTCTTCTGTCTCATATCTAAAATCCTGTAATTAGCTGACAAAAAGTAATATAGTTGTATAGAATTGTGGTAGTTTGAGTCATTAGAAATATTCTTCTTTAGCTTTGTTGATAGAAAACATGCTTAACCCAAATGACAGAGAAGTGTCCAGATCTACAGTATCAATAAGACTCAACGAGAATGGAATATTTGGTCGTGTAGCAGTTTAAAAAATCCTTTACTTCGATCTCCAAATATTGTCAAGAGACTTGAATTTGCTAAAAAGTACAAAACTAGACTGTTGATTATTGTAAAAGGGTGTTATGAGTCCAAATTTGAAATATTTGGTTCAAAGCGTAGGTTGTACGTCCGACGGAAGAAAGGTAAAGGATACTTACCTCAATGCATAGCACCTACCATCAAGCATGGGGGAGGCAGTGTGATGGTGTGGAGGTGTTTTTATGCTGAGGCGACAGGAGGTATTTGTAAAATAGATGGAATAATGGACCAGCACAAGTACCATCCGTCATGGTATACCCAGTGGTTTGTGTATTATTGGTAAAGGATTCTACTACCAAGAAACTAATGCCCCCAAACACTCATCCAACCTATGCAGAAAGTACTTAGCTAAGAAAGAAGCTGCTCGAGGCATTCAAATGATGACATTTCCCCCACAGAGCCTTGATCTTAACCCAATTGAGCAGATCTGGAATTTGATAGATCAAAAACACGACAAATCCAAAGTTACTTCCAAAGAAACTTTATGGGGGTGTATTAGAGACATTTGTAGTAAAATCCCAAAGAATTGATTGAATATGTTGCAATAATGCTTGAAAACCTATCTACAGTTATTAAAGCAAAAGGGAGACGCACAAAATATTAACTGTTTGCTGAACTCAAGCACTTGCACTGAGTTTCTGTTATACTAAACACGTATGTTAATAAAATGTTGATGTTTTACTTATGATTTACCTTCCATTGTTCTTTGAAAATGGCCTGAAATCTAATTTTTGATTTTGTCCTAACACTTTTACACAGTACTGTATATATTGATAAGAATTCACTTGGATTTGAAGAAAAGCTGAATCATAAGAATTGTTCTAAAAATCTAAGAAAAAAACACACGAAGAAACAACAAAACAATGAAGTATTCAGTTACATAAAATTCTAAATGTAAGATAATCCATTCCTTAATTTCAGTGTAGAGTATTCAGAAATAGACCCAATATAAATATACAGAGGTATGTATATTTAAAATCTGGTAGAAGTGTAATGAAGTTTTGGAAGTGATCTATCAGAAATAGGCCCATACGCTTCACCAATATAAATATACAGAGGTATGTATGTTCAACATATGGTAGAAGTGTAATGAAGTTTTGGAAGTGATCTATCAGAAATAGGCCCATACGCTTCACCAATATAAATATACAGAGGTATGTATGTTCAACATATGGTAGAATAGTAATGAAGTTTTGGAAGTGATCTATCAGAAATAGGCCCATACGCTTCACCAATATAAATATACAGAGGTATGTATATTCAACATATGGTAGAAGTGTAATGAAGTTTTGGAAGTGATCTATCAGAAATAGGCCCATACGCTTCCCCAATATAAATATACAGAGGTATGTGTATTTAACATATGGTAGAAGTGTAATGAAGTTTTGGAAGTGATCTATCAATCAGCCTATAACTTATTTCTAGTGTAACTTTAACTTCATCAATAAAAAAGTAAGCAGTTAGATATGAAGTTGTACAAATTATCACCCCAATGCAGTAGTTAATGGTAAACTATTACCCCTGAACAACATCCAGCTCCAGTGAATCGTATTATAAGACGAAGAAGCCATCTAAAAGGCGTTCTCAAATGGGTGTATTCAAAAGTTTTTTTGGTCAACCGCAAAGCTAGCCAATGGGCTATACGTACTGGGTCAACCTCAGGAATTGAACCCATAATTTTACAACTATAAGCTTTGAAGCCGAGACCCCGAAGGGCATTTGAAAGATACAATGGGATTTCTTTTATATGTAAGAAGATAGCGTTTTTAAAAACCTTACTAATTGTAGAACTAATATTGTAATAAGCGTTTACCAAATTTGTCAAACATATCTGCAAATACTGAATGCGAACATAATTCAGAGATATTAATAAGGTTTTGTTTTTGTTTGTTTGTTTTTGAATTTCGCGCAGAGCTATACGAGAGCTATCTGCGCTAGCCGTTTCTAATTTAGTAGAGTAAGACTAGAGGGAAAGCAGCTAGTCATCACCACCCACCGCCAACTCTTGGGGCTACTCTTTTACCAACGAATAGTGGGATTGATCGCACATTATAACACCTCCACGGCTGAAAGGGCGAGCATGTTTGGCGGGACGGGGATTCGAACCCGCGACCCTCAGGTTGCGAGCGAGTGCCCTAACCATTTATCATTGATGGCATTAATGAATGGATTGGAACTGGTTCGAAAAGAAACAAACACGAATATATTATTTTAAACTTTCTCACATCTCTTCAGGTGGAAAGATAGATTATTGTATTATTTCTAAAATACAATATCCATAAGGAAGTGTATTGTATGGATTTAAACTGAACATATATAGCATTGTGTAAACAATCTCACATTCCTATACCTATCTTAACACGAAGGAAGAAAAATATAAAATGCACTATGATAAATGTTACTTGATTTAAGATGATTTCACATGACAAAAGCCAAGTATTTTAAGAAATATCTGGACACAAAAACTAACGTTTCAAGATTTTGAAACATTCTACAAATCACAGGAAGTTTCTCTAAACTACTTCGATAACGTAGTAAACAAACATACAGAATAATGTTAGAAGAGCATTGTCTTAAAAATCACTTAGAGGAAACTACAACTTCCGTTGAGTTCTAGTAGTTCAACAAAATCTGGATTACTAATGTTGCGTATCTGCTCGTTTGTTAAT